ATAGAAGTGACTTGTTTTTAACTGATGAATTTATTTGATCAACATTTGGGTAATAAATAAAAACAGAATGTTAACAATGCAATATAAAGTATGTATTTTCATACTGAATATATTTTAAAATTGAAATCGTTCCAGTAATATTTGTGCCGACTGCCATTAGAGTTTTAAATACATGGGTTTTAAGTATAAATAGGGTCAATTGTGTTTTTAATTTGATTTATGTGATGATATTAAATGTATTGTGTTACTTTTTGTGACGTGTGTGTGATGGGAATGTTGACATAATTATGTTGTGAAGCCAAAGATGAATTTTCACTTGTGAATAGTAAAGAAAGTCAAGTCAAAAAACTTGTTAACATTCTTACTTATGTTTTTAGAGTTACACAATCCTTTAGAAATCATTCAAATAGGCTGATTTGATGCTCAAAGAACTTTGTTTTATGCTGCCATTTTTTTAGAAACTGATTTTTTTCGTTATACTTTGAAAAACAGAAAGAACATCATTTATTTTTAATATAAAGATCTGTAATGTTGTAAATGGCTTTACATTTACTTTTTATGTTTTGTTTCTTTTACTTGTTTATCTTTCCCCAATCTCTTGAATCCATAAATTATAAACAAAACAGCAAAACTATTTAAACATGACATTAGTAATATTATTCATTCATTTTCTTGTCGGCTTAGTCCCTTCATTAATATGGGATCGCCACAGCGGAATGAACCGCCAACTTATCCAGCAAGTTTTTACACATACTGTACACACACACACTCACTACAGACAATTTAGCCTACCCAATTCACCTTTACCACATGTCTTTGGACTGTGGGGGAAACCGGAGCACCCGGAGGAAACCCACGCAAACGCAGGGAGAACATGCAAACTCTACACAGAAACGGCAACTGAGCCGAGGATCGAACCAGCGACCCAGCGACCTTCTTGCTGTGAGGCGAATGTGCTACCCCAACACAATCTCAAGGCAATTCGTAACTTTTTCATTTAGTGGCTAATTCGTATGAATTCGTACGATCTAATTCGTACAATTTAGTACGATTTGCTCATCCCCCAATGACGGTTGGGGTTAGGGGTGGGGTCAGGTGCCACGCCTCCTTTTTAAAATCGTACCATTTGCCACTAAACTGGCAAAACGTAAAATACTTACGTTTTCTCGTGAGATCAGGCTGGCTACCAACTGCACCACTGCATCACCCTCATTAATACTATTAATGATAATAACAATAATATTAATGATAATAATAATAATAATAATAATAATAATTGTAGTAGTAACAGTTTTGATAATATCAGAAATTAAAACATATTCTTATGAACAGCAATCCGCCTATTATAATATTATGAAAGTAAATAAAGTGTAATAATCCCAAATATTTGACCAGTACTTTTAGCTCAAGTGTAATTTTTTAAAATGCTAATTTGAGGCCAAAGCAAAACAGAGGGCTGCAATAATCTCAATCCAGGTTTGTAAATGTACACAATATAAAATTGTGCAAAGCTGTGAATGATGCATTTTGATGCACACTTTATTCATTTCTACACTGTAAACAAATATCCGTAAATTAGTTTTCTGTATTTTGGTGATTCATGTTTTAAGTTTTCCCCATTTTTTTATGCTTTTGAAATGCATTATGAGATCTTGATCTCTCTTCCAACAACTTTTAACCTTGAAAAGTTAGAAAAACATGAACATTGAACATTTCTAATAGTTTATAGTAATATATCGTCTGGGTTGGTGTTGTTTTTATGCTACAAAAACCTTGTATTAAAGCACCAGAACATGTTCTGTTATTTGACAGACTTATTTCTCTCTATATTACATCTTATACATTATATTATTTACTAAAATGTGAATAAAGTCACTTTGCTAAGCTGTAGAGTTGAATTTTCTACATTAAAAGTCAACAGAGCATCCCATAATGCAATTCACAAACGTAAATAAACAAAATATTTGTGAATCCTAAAATATGGAAACTGTTAATGAACAGATTTTTTATTTCAGTGTTGCTTTATTCAGTCACTAAATCACTGGTGTTCATATGATTCCTTACATCCAGGTGCCAGCTTTAAACAGGAGTTTCTGCAGACTCATAACCAGTACCGGCATCAGCACCAGGCACCGCCGCTGGTCTACCGTGAGGATCTGTGCAGGGCCGCTCAGAAATGGGCCGAACACATGCTGAGCAAAAAATCTCTGGGCCACAGTGAAACAGAGAACGGGGAGAACGTCTATTACTCCTTCAGCTCCGTCAAAAAGACACCAACAGGTCAAATCTAATGCTTTTCACTCTTTTCATCTAAAACTTTTCATCTAAAATGCTTTCCATCTAAAACTTTTCACATTTCCGGGTTTCTCAGTAGTGGAAGTCGTCATACTGTAGTTGTTAAACTTAGAGCGCAGCATGGGAGAGCACAACAAATGTTTTACAATCCTATTTTCTGAATAATTAAACACACACGGCTCGCACAAGCAGTAATTACTTACTCTGAAAATTGATGCTATGATAATACATACGTAAAAACAATTCAATGTTCATACGTTTTATATATTTATATAGGCTATATTAAAAACTTTCAAGGATTTAAGATTATCATGACAGTTAAATGTGTCATAGTCTCGTGAGAAGGGTCGTACAAGTGATACACATTGAAAAAAGACTTAAGGGGCCTCATTTTTTACAAAAAATTACATAAAGTTTTCTTAAAGTACATCCAGGATTGTTTGGTATGGCAGAATAAAAACCAACAGGTTTATCAGTAGCAAAGCGGAGCACTGTTATATAAGACTGAAGGGCTTTATTCTAAGAAAACAACCACCCACTTATTACACAACTCCTTGCCACAAAACATAAACATTTGACACAGAATAATGTTCTGAGTTGTAAAAGTTTACTAGCTCTTCAATTAAATCCAAAGCTGACAGTAACAAAAACAACCGATGTAGCATTCACGAACCTGTGCAATATTCAGTCACAAGATGGCGCCAAACAGTCAAAAACACAATGCTGACAGAGATGAAAACATTCGATGTAGCATTCACGAACCTGTGCAATATTCAGTCACAAGATGGCGCCAAACAGTCAAAAACACAAGGCTGACAGAGATGAAAACAACCGATGTAGCATTCTCGAACCTGTGCATTATTCAGTCACAAGATGGCGTTCAAGCTGACAGAAATGAAACCATTTTAATAGACAACTAGAGCGTACTAAACTACAATGGTGCCAAACTGAAGAATGTGGATGTACTGTATGAACGTGAAGGTTTTAGTCAAGATGATTTAAAGTTCTGGGACGAGCCTGTGTTATTTAGCTGTGGTTATAGGGGAGAGCGGGGCACAAAGTAACACTTTGGTATTGGTCCAATTATGAACAAAGTAATGGGGTTAGACAAACCATTTTTTTTTACCAATAACACACAAGCCTTTCCTACAAATGAGCACTGGTTGCATGATCACCGGACCTATGGTTTCTGTGCAGTATTGCCAAAAGTGCCAGGAGTAACAATGTTACTATTTACCCCACCTGTGGGGCAAGTTGTAACAGACAGGGGGCTAGTTGTAACACAAGCTTACATAAGCAGATTTCACACAGTGACTTTAAATAGTAGCTATATTCCCACAGTAGTTGGCTCATTTCTTTTTTATTCGACAGAGCACAGTATGTTTATGTATTTATTTGTATATTGGATAAACACATTTGAATCTATTTGCATTATTATCCATTATTATATAATGCATTTATTTGCAGCATTAGCAATATATTATTTTTTTTATTAAAAAACATTTTTATTTAAAAAAGTTCCCAACATTACACTCAAATGCATTCACTGTGTGTTTTTCTTTCTAAATATTTTGATATTTTAGCCTAGAATAACAAAACAATTAAAACTCTTAAACAGAGCAAAGTTGTGAATGCAGCACCGACTCAAATTGTTTTGTCTGTTTTTAGGAAAGGAAGCTGTGGACTCTTGGTACAGTGAAATCAAAGATTACAATTTTGCAAAATCAGGACATCAACCTAAAACAGGTGCACTATCAGTTTTAATAAGCGGTTTCATTGAAGAACTGTTAGAAGTCCATTTCAGAACCATTTCTCAGTATCGGCTTACTTTATGATAATCTCTGTTATTGTTTTCATCTACAGGTCATTTCACGCAGGTTGTGTGGAAATCCTCCAAAGAGCTCGGAGTCGGTCTGGCTACTGACGGAAACACAGTTTTTGTGGTTGGTCAATACAAGCCTGCTGGAAACATAACCAACGCTGGCTATTATGAGCAAAATGTTCTGCCTAAAAAACAATAATGTTCCTTTTTTTGATTGTTTTAAAATATAAACGTATTAAGCAGATGCTTTTTAAGTGACTCAATCAGAGCTTTCAGATTAAATATAAAAGACAGGCCTATAATGCATTGTGAATAAATCCTGTGTTTGTGATTTTAATAAAGTAATCAATCAATTATAAGCAAATGTGTATTTATTTATACTGATTAACTGTATAATTTTGGCTGAACCAAATTTTGTCAAGAAACAAAGATATGAAACTATACCAGAATAATTTAACTTCGATGATACAACAATGTGGTGTTAGACTTTAACCCAACAAAATCTACTGTATTTATTAATTGTGTTAACTTTTTTTTTAATAATATAAAAATATTATATAAAATATTATAAGAATATAATATACAAATTGGCCAGCTCCTCCTCCCTCCGCGCCTCCGCTTCGCCAACGTAACACTGCGAGCCAAGCGGACAAACTGGTTGCAGCGGGAAAGTCCTCCACACGGAGGTGAGCCGTAAGTCATAAAAAACAAAATGCTGCCATACGTACCTTCAGCCATGTAAATCCCAGTCTCCAGAAACGTCCGCGGGGCTACGTTTCCAGAATGAGCTTGGGTTGATTTTGGTATGTAGTTTAACCAATCTTCCCATATAATAATTATACATTTGACAACAACATAAGTTAGTCCCTTAGGACCAAATGCTGAATTGTACACCTGTCACACTCTAAAATTCCATATTAATTTGGTTAAGAGCTTATTAGACAATAAATAAACTTAATTTGTATTTGTGAAAATTTCCTTGCTCGGTTAAACATCATTTGGGAAATATTTAAAAAAAGAAGAAAAAAAATGGGGGGTAATAATTCTGACTTCAAGTGTATATGCAGATGTGATTTGGTCTCTAAGTATGCTAAGTACACATAATTTAGTATATAAAACTACATCAAGTACACTAAAGGTTATAATGAGTTACTATAAATTAATTACAATTAAAATAAACCTAACACAAATTTAATTAAATTTAAGTAAGATTATGTTGTAAAGTGAAGAATCCTTACAGAAGCGTATTTGTTTTTCATTACAGTAAATCTTAGTTAAAGAAGGACATTTACGCCGCATCTTATATGAAAAACTAAATATGAAGTAGAGAAACACATTACTGCTATAACATGAGCTGAAGTTTGCATTGTCTGATTTTTTTCATTAAAAAACAATCAGTTATAAATGGCAAAAGTTCCTGCTCAGTTCATGGAGCTGACACTGTAATTTTGTCCGACTTCAATAGGCATAGCTTATTTTCATTTTCACATATGAGTTTACAGAATTTGTATATGCATAATAGTTATATTTGAGCCTGATTACAAAATCTATTCAAATTATCTTTTAGCCAGAAAAGAAAAGTTTGAATACATAAAAATGTAAGTAAAAAAAGTTGCAAACCCAAAACATCTGCGGTTCACCTTATGAGGAAACTCAGATGATGAAGTGTGAAATGCTCAGATGTTTCCTCATGTGTCAATGTGAGTCTCTCTGTCGGAGAGCAGAACACACACACACACTCTCACACACACTGAAAGTCTTCTCTTGTGGATGCTGGAGTTGAGGAAGATCATGCTGGTGTTTGAGCTGCTGCTGATACTGCAAACTGCTGCATGTGAGTCCACCTTCAGCTCAAACTCCTGCTCTGATCACTTACATTAGCATTATAACAACATCTGTGCTGTAATGTTAGATTAAGAGCATCATGCAGAGATCTAATAATCATGCTTTAGGGTCTTCAGGACTGTGTGTATTAGTGGTGTGAAGGTACCTGTGTATTAGTGCAGTGTTAATACAGTATGTGAGAGAATGCCGCTCACTTTTAGGAAACAGTGTCCTCTGTGGAAGTAAAACAGTTTTTAAAAAGTAAAAATAAATGAATTATAAGCAGTGTTATTTTAATAAAATCATCAAATAAGTATTATTTTATTATATTTTTAGTTTCCACATGCAAACAGGATTATTATTTAATTAAATTATTTATTACTTTCCATATCAAATTGTAAGTCACTGTGAACTTATAACTGACAGCTCTGATTTCCATGCAACATGACTGTATTTATTATAAATGATGGAGCATGTAATTATTTTTATGTTTATGATTGAGCCTCTGTATTTATAACATCTCTTGGTAACACTTTACAACAGGGGTCACCAATCTCGGTCCTGGAGGGCCGGTGTCCCTGCAGAGTTTAGCTCCAACTTGCCTCAACACAACTGCCTGGGTGTTTCAAGTATACCTAGTAAGACCCTGATTAGCTTGTTCAGGTGTGTTTGATTAGGGTTGGAGCGAAAATCTGCAGGACACCGGCCCTCCAGGAACAAGTTTGGTGACCACTGCTTTACAATAAGGTTCATTAGTTAATGCATTTACTAACATTAACTGATCATGAACAACACATGTACAGCATTTATTAATCATTATTGAACATTTACTAATGCATTATTAACATCCAAGTCCATGCTTGTTAACATTAATTAATGCACCATGAGTTAAAATGAACTAACAATGAACTACTGTATTTTAATTAACTAACGTTAACTAACATGAACAAATACTGTAGTAGATGTACTTTTCATTGTTTGTTCATCTTAGTAAATTAATTAATTAACATTAGCTAATGAACCTTATTGTAAAGTGTGACCCATCTCTTTTATTTTCTGATACTTCACAAGAATGAAAGTATCTTCTATTAGATGCTGACTGTGAGTTCAGTCGTAATATGATTGTGTTCTGCATCCTCTTGATCACCGCGGTTGTTGTGTCAGGAGAAACACAAATAAAGCCTTTTCTTTTAGGAAACAGTCACGTTCATAATGATGCTTTAGGACAGGTCAAGACTCTGAAATGTTCAGTGCTGATTATAGTGATTGTTTATTGTATTTGATGTCTGATATTTATATTTTATAGTGAAAGATATTTATAACGGCAATAAAAAACTGTAGATGTTGATATTTCCGTGCATGTGTGTGTGTGTGTGTGTGTGTGTGTGTGTGTGTGTGTGTGTGTGTGTGTGTGTGTGTGTGTGTGTGTGTGTGTGTGTGTGTGTGTGTGTGTGTGTGTGTGTGTGTGTGTGTGTGTTGTTCAGGTGTGGAGCGCTTCTGCAGTTTTGCTCAGTCAGATCCCTGTTACGCAGCTTTGGGAGACAAACTCAACCTGCAGATGGTGGTTGCTAATAAACATAACCTGTCCATAAGAAAGAGGATAAACAACAACACACAAGATGATCTAGTTTGTAAAGTAAAATTATTGAACGCTTGTGATCTTTATAAAAACAGACCTGAAGTGAGAATCATTAACGGGACTGTGATAATAAACACTGTGAAGAGAGAAGATTCAGGAGATTACAGATTACGACTTAATAATCCTGATGGCGCAGACACGTTTAAAGATCTTCAGGTGAATGTTGAAGGTCAGTAAATCTCTCATCAGACTCATTATTACAATCTCATGTTCTCTAAAGATCTCCCACTTCTGCAGATCAGTGTTATATATATGAAGAGATCTGCGCACTAAACTGATCACTGAATCACTGCAGCACTGACAATAAATCATCTGCACTTGATGTACTGAGGTCATTTATAGGACTGAACATGTTTTTATGTATATTTCCAGTTGTTTTAAAAATAAAATTTTGTTTTCAGATGGTTAACCTGTTAAATTTTCTGACATTATAATCTTTAAAGAACATTTTGTATAGACATATCTTGACACAGACTCTGATTAGATGATGAGTGATGAAAGTATCTGTCATGTGCTCCGCCCTCCAGCTCCTGTTGGCTCAGTTAGGGTGTCAATCAACTGCTCCTCCAATCAGATGAGGTCAGTGTCCTGCTCCTCTGAGGGGGATCAGCTCCTCTACAGCTGGACTCTCAATGGAGAAACACTGATGGATGAAAACAGCAGCATTCAGCTTGAAGAGGAAACTGAAGGAGAAATCACCTGCACTGTAAAGAACCACGTCAGTAAAAGACAGAAGACTGTTAGCACCGAAGACTGTTTAGGTGAGATAGTCAAAAAGTTTGTTTGTTTGTTGGTTTACGTAGTTTTATTTATTCATTTGATGCTGTAATCTCAGGTTTAACCTCTAGTTTGACTTTTACAGTGACCAGCAGCAGTCTAACAACATCAAACTGGGGTATGAGTTTAACAGAGCAATACAGGAATCCTGATGGACAGATTTTGTTTCGTGTTTAATTGTTGTCTTCTGTGTTCAGTGTCTCACAGCTCTATGCTGGTCATTTATTTGATGACTCTGTTCGCTCTGTTAGGAGGATTTCACATCTACATCCACACACAAGTCAGGTGAGAGACGATTATGATCAGCGTTATTGATTCAACGTGCATATAAAGTGTGAAGATGATGATGATGATGTGATGCTTTTAGGAAAGAAAGAAGATCAAAACCTGATGATGAGGAGATTTAGAGAAGAACACAGAGCAGATCCCATCACATCTGTATTAAAATGACTGCACGATTTCCAAGAGTTTATTTTCATATAGTTTTCTCGTCTTTGATTGATTTCTCATTGTTTATAATACCTAAACCATTCAAACATTTCCTCTTTGTGTGTAACTCAGTTTTGAGTTTTGAGTTTTCAGGTTCAAGTCCCAGCTGGGTCAGTTGGCATTTCTCTGTGGAGTTTGCTTGTTCTCCCTGTGTTGGTGTAGGTTTCCCTCCCGCTATAGGGGAGTTGAATAAATATGTGTGCCATATAATATGCCATATATGTGTGTGTGTGTGTGTGTGTGTGTGTGTGTGTGTGTGTGTGTGTGTGTGTGTGTGTGTGTGTGTGTGTGTGTGTGTGTGAATGAGTGTGTATGGGTGTTTCCCAGTACTGGGCTGCAGCTGGACTTTCATTCGCTGCATAAAACAAATGCTGGAATAGTTGGCGGTTGGCGGTTCATTCCACTGTGGTGACCCCTTATAAATAAGCGGCTAAGCCAAAGGAAAATGAATGACTTAATGAATACTTTTAGCTGTTTGTGCATTTATCTTAATTTTTTTGGGTCATTTTAGAATATCGCTAAACAGACCGTTATTTAAGAATTGTAAAATTAAGTCTGTTCAATTTGTTATGAAATTTATTCAGAAGATATAATTATCAATAATTAAAATAAAAGTAGTTCTAAATTAAAATGTATAATACAATTGACTTTCAGTTTAAAGGGACAGTTCACCAACAAATTGACTTTTACTCACTATTTACTCTCCCTCAGGTGGTTTCAAACATTTATTAGCTTCTTTCTTTTGTTAAAGATATTTTTATAAATGTTAGAAACTTGTAAGCTGTAAACAAATACTATGAAAGTCAATGGTTATGTTTGCAACATTTTTCAAAATATCTTCTTTTGCATTTAGCAGAATTAAGAAACTCAAACAGGCTTGAAACAAGTAAAGAGTGAGTAAATAATAAGAATTATCATTCTAGAGTGAACTACTGGATAGCACTCTCACCTCACAGCAAGAAGGTCGCTAATTCAAAACTTGGTTTGGTCAGTTGGCATTTCTGTGTGGAGTTTGCAAGTTCTCCCGGTGTTGCCGTCGGTTTACTCTGGATGCTCTGGTTTCCCCCACAAGTTCAAAGACATGTAGTATAGGTGAATTGGGTAAGCTAAATTGTCTGTAGTGTACAGTATGTTTGTGTATGGGTGTTTCCCAGTGATGGGTTGCAGCTGGAAGGGCAGTTTAAGCGGTGCGTAAAACATATGCTGGATACGTTGGCGGTGCGTTCTGCTGTGCTGACCCCAGATTAATAAAGAAACAAAGCCAAAAAGAAAATTAACGAATGAATCAGTTATTTAGGTCACAGAAATTACACATCAATAACAAAATATTTGTTTTATTTGTAAATGTTAAGAACTTATGAACAGTGCAGTCAAACAGAGAATTTTCAGTTTGTTTATTTAAATTTTGTAAACTTTTTACATTTATTTAAAGACGCAGAGAGCTTTATCCTCTAAATCATCATCTAAATATAACACTTTCTTTCAAATAAAGATTTATACTTTGGGTTTTGTCATGGTCTTCTGCACAGAGTAACCCGTGTGGTTTATTTTCGTAAATACAGGGCTGCCAACTGTAATACATTACTGTGTAGGATGAGGTTTGTTACACAATAGTAAACCAAGTGTTGCAGAACACGTTTGTGGTTTCTGATCTCACACCGCATGCCTTCTCAGACATCTTCTCAGATGTCAGAGACATTTGTTTATTAAAATATATATTAAAAATAAAACATTAAAGCAGTTTCCGGGTACTAAGAGTGTTGTATGGTTTTATGTGACAGCTCTTTTATTGATGTTGTTTCAATGGTGGAAACACTGATTTAGTGGCATGAGACATGCATGATTTCAGGAAGTTTGTGTTTCAACATATTCATGTTTAAACTTATTATTTTGCTTCTGAAATAAAGACTTTTTTTTCATTAAATCTCTATAGCAGTGTTATTTTTTATACTGACTCAAGCACTTACCATATGACATTGTTTGTTGTGAATTAATGCCCTCTAGCGGTAAAAATGACATACTACACATTTAAGCTGCCCACTACTATTAGTGCATTTTTAATAACTGTCTCCAACATAGTTTTCTTGGTTGCATGGGATTCTGAAGTCATTTATACACTAGAAGGAAGTCTGAATGTTTAGTATAATTTCATGGCACTGAGAACAGGGCTTTGAGTCAACAGGATCAATTTAAACACATACTGAAAAACATAATATCAAAAACTGCAATAAAAAAATAAGCTAGATAATTATTTGATTTTTAAAAAGAGCAGTCCAGTATTGTTCACCAAAAAAAAAAAAAAAAAAAAGCATAAACAGTTTAATGTAAGACCTCAGAGTTGAGACTGATAGTGAGAAAGTTGAGAGATAGTAAGGGTAGGGTGTGTTTGAGTAATTCTCCCTTGCACTGATTGGATAAGATTATGATTGCTGCTAATGACTGGACATGTCTATAGGGTATATGTACAGCTAGTGTTTTTTCCCTATCGATAAACTTCCTATGAACGGTTAATGTGACTTTTTTCAATTTTATACTGTTCCTCTCACAGCATCAGTGTTGTAATGTGATTTAAATATAATAGGTTAAATATATTTCGGCATTCATTTAGCAATTTCAATTTAGTAACGGTACAGAGTTCACCAGAAGCACTTTACTGGTTACTGAACATTAAAAGTCCTTCTGCATATATCCTACAATCGAGGCATGCCATTATAAGCTATATTTTGTTTATAAAACATCACAAAAAGATGAGGGGAAAACTAAAACAAAAAAAAAAGTTACTGTATTTATATTACTGTCTGCTGAAAAAGTAAAGGGATTACATTTAAGCCTTTTTCAGTTACTTAAAATATCCTTGCCCTAAAAATTGTAAATAAATTCAATCCAAATGTTCTGTAGTTCTACTTTAATTGATTTACATATTTTAAAGATGCAATAAGCTGCAATTAAACTTTCTAAGCCATGAAGTTATGCAGAATCAGTAGCTGTAGTTGTCTGTTCGTCCTGCAGATGTCGCTCTGCACAAAACTCCACATGTCTCTTCATGAGTCTCACCTGCAGGAAACTGAAGATCGAGTCCAGACAGCCTGAAGGTCAGAATCAGTGTTTTATTCTCTGACCACTTATTCAAGAGAGTGTGTGTGTGTGTGTATGTGTGTGTGTGTGTGTGTGTGTGTGTGTGTGTGTGTGTGTGTGTGTGTGTGTGTGTGTGTGTGTGTGTGTGTGTGTGTGTGTGTGTGTGTGTGTGTGTTTTTCTTTGGAACTTTAAGCTTAACAAAAGACAAATTGTCCTTATAACGCGTTACTGTGTGTATATGTAATATATCTATATCACAGTTGTGCCAAATGTATGTCTGCCACTGCAGGCTTTGTAGGCCCAGAATTAACAACAAACACAATTGACACATTTCAACAAAGACACCCCTGTCAAGAGGAGCGTAGCAACCTTGGGGGACGAGGGGGATACCTTCCCCTCACATTAGGAGACAGACCATTTAGAAAGAATGTTAACATATAAACAGATATGCAAACTTATATTTATTAAAATGTCATTTGTTTTAAAGATAAATCCACGATCTTGCTCTCAGACACACGCCACTTCTCTTATAAGCTCAAAAAAGTGTGTGTTGTAAGTTATATATATTAACACCATTATAGATGGTTTCTGATTGGTCAAACTGACAGTGTTACAACAAATCGAATGCTACAACACTGACAATCTACCACAACTGATGCAAATACAACAAACAAGAAGTCTAGTGGAAGTTAATAAGTGTTAGTGCAAAATGACGAAGTGCAAACCAGAGTATTATGTGCAAATGAAATAAGTATGTAATATTTCAAAATATTATATTAATATTTATATAATATACATACAATAGTAATGGTGTATAATGTTGTAGAGAAGCTTTGTGTATCAGTCTAAATGTTACAATATCAAGTTTGTGTGAACATAATATATAGAGCATATGCAGATATTTACAGTATATATCGTTCTGAATGAGAGTTTAGAGCAAATGCCAGCCTTGTTCTGTTGTTTTTCCTCATCTATCTTTACATATTTTCTTGTATATACTTAAAATTCAATTTTATTTAATTCCAAGGATAAGTAGTTTCATCCCTCCTGCTTAATATGGTGTCCAATAAAACCTTGAATTGCTGAAATTCTTGCTCTCTGTTTCATGTTTCGTCTTTGTTTAGTTGTGAAGTGTCTGCCGTTCCCCGTATGAGAAAACTTCCTCTTCAGTTGGTGAGATGCTGTTTCCTCATGTGTCAGTGTGAGTCTCTCTGCAGAGCACACACACTGAAAGTTTTCTCTTGTGGATGCCGAGGTTGAGGAAGATCATGCTGGTGTTTGGGCTGCTGCTGCTGATACTGCAAACTGCTGCATGTGAGTCCACCTTCAGCTCAAACTCCTGCTCTGATCACTTACATTAGCAATATAACAACATCTGTGCTGTAGTGTTAGATTAAGAGGATTCTGTAGTGATCTAATAATGGTGTCTTCAGAACTGTGTGAATTATAGTGGATTTAGGATTTTGAACATTTATTTATTTATTTATTTGTTATGGTGTAAATATTTTTTTTCTCTGCTCAGAGCCTGAAAGTTTAGGCAAGGCAAGTTTATTTTTATAGCACATTTCATACACAGTGGCAATTCAAAGGTGCTTTACATAAACAGGAATAAAAGAGACAAGTGTAAGAAAATAAAAACAAATAATAAGAATTATAAAAATAAGAATAAATAGATAAAACAGATAAAAATGTGTTAAAATCGGTTATAAGATAATGAAAAAGAAAAGAAAAACATAATAGTGTGATCTGTAGGATGCAGCACAGTGCTCATTCAGTAAGTTTAGTATTTTAATTTTTACTAAATCTTGAGTAATTAGCTCTTTTTTTGCTTATCTTTTTATGAATGCAAGCGTTAAATTTTAGAATGTTGATGCATTTTAGTAGTTTGATAAGCAAGTTACCCTGAAATCAAGACTGAAATCAAAACTAACAGTTTTCATTTCTGTGGATTATTGCTGTAGGTTTTAAATAAATCATCCTTTATGGCTTTAACTTACCATTCATGACATATATTCTCTGCCGATGCTTCATAATAGGGAGGAAAATTTAATCTCTTCTGTTTCAAGCTGATTTACTGTAAAATAATAATAATAATAATTCCTTACATTTATATAGCGCTTTTTTGGGCACTCAAATCGCTTTACACAATGGGGGAAATCTGCTCATCCACCACCAGTGTGCAGCATCCACCTGAATGACGCGACGGCAGCCATTTTGCACCAGACTGCACACCACACACCAGCTGATTGGTGGAGAGGAGACAGAGTGATGAAGCCAATTATGATATGGGGAGGGTTAGGAGGCCATGATGGATGGAGGCTAGTGGGCAAATTTGGCCAGGAAGCCGTGGTTAAACCCTTACTCTTTTTCAAAGGACATCCTTAGATTTGTAACGAGCACAGAGAGTCAGGACCTCGATTTAACGTCTCATCTAAAAGACAGTGAATTGTAAATCCGTAAAGCTGTGAATTGTGTCCATCACTATGATTGTGTTCTGTGTCCTCTTTTTAATTATCAGGAGCAGACACACAAATGACACATTTTCAGGAAAATAAAATCCAATAACACAACATTAGTCTTAAATGTAAACTCCCTGCTGGATTCTGTGAATGTTGGTGTTTAATTTAATAATTATAAACAATAGATAACCATACCGACAACAAAACGATTGGTTGGTTGACGGTGGCCATAGCAACGACAAACGTCAGGGAGGATTGTGAGCTTAAAACACATTTAAATCCGAAATTAAAATAAAATTAAATCTCTCTTTCCCACTGTGTGTGTGTGTGTGTGTGTGTGTTTGTGTACGTGTGCGTGTGCGTGTGTGTTCAGGTGTGGAGCGGTTCTGCAGTTTTACTCAGTCAGATCCCTGTTATGCAGCTCTGGGACACAAACTCAATCTGCAGATGGTGAACGCCAGTAAATATAGCCTGACCATAATAAAGAGAATAAACAACATAGATGATGCAGTTTGTAGAGTAAGAAATGACACAAAGAGAGCAAATGTATGTGATCTTTACATAAACAGACCTGAAGTGAGAATCATTAAAGGGACTGTGATGATAAACTCTGTGAAGAGAGAAGATTCAGGAAATTACAGATTAGAACTCTTTAATCCTGACGGCACAGAAACATCTCAATATCTTCAGGTGAATGTTGAAGGTCAGTAAATCTCTCATCAGACTCATTATTACAATCTCATGTTCTCTAAAGATCTCACACTCCTGCAGATCAGTGTTAAATATATGAAGAGATCTGCTCACTGAACTGATCACTGAATCACTACATCACTGACAATAAATCTGGATTATCTACAATATTTCACGCACCAAGACAGTTTTCAGATTGAAATATGAGCATTTCTCCTAATGCACATTACCAGCTGTTTAACTAACCTGCAATGTCCTACAGTGTTGTGACATGATTAACCTGTGCTGCATGTTTAATTCTCTGACATTGTCATTTTTTGTATAGATTTAGTCTAGAAATGTCTCTGATTCCAGACTCTGATTAGATGATGAGTGAAGAAAGTATCTGTCATGTGTCCCGCCCTCCAGCTCCTGTTGGCTCAGTGCAAGTGTCAATCATCTGCTCCTCCAATCAGATGAGGTCAGTGTCCTGCTCCTCTGAGGGGGATCAGCTCCTCTACAGCTGGACTCTCAATGGAGATACACTGATGGATGGAAACAGCAACATTCAGCTTCAAGAGGAAACTAAAGGAGAAATCACCTGCACTGTGAAGAACCACGTCAGCCAAGAAAACACGACTGTTAGCATTGAAGACTGTCCTGGTGAGATTACTGCATAGTTAGTTTTTAATTTAAATTCTAGTTTTGTTTTGTTTGTGTTTTTCAGCATGAGCTCAGCAGTCATTTCTGTCCATGTTTTAGGTTAGTTGGCTCAAAAAGAGTTCAGTTTGCTGTGATGTTTTTACAGGATTGACTACTGAGGCTGTGACCTCTAGTTTGACCTCTACAGTGACCTCTAGTTTGACCTCTACAGTGACCTCTAGTTTGCTCTCTACAGTGTCCAACAACCCAACAACATCAAACTGTGGTATGAGTAATACCACAATAAGGGAATACTGATGGACATCTTTTGTTTAGTGTTTAATTGTTGTCTTCTGTGTTCAGTGTCTGGGTGGTTTGTGCTGGTCTGGTTTTTTCAGCTGATGACTCTGTTCGCTCTGTTAGGAGGATTTCACATCTACATCCACACACAAGTCAGGTGAGAGACGATTATGATCAGCATTATTGATTTAACATACAAATTAAGTGTGAAGATGATGATGATGTGATGCTTTTAGGAAAAAAAACAGATCAAAACTTGAGAACACGGGGCGATTTAGAGAAGAACACAGAGCAGAAGATTCAACAGATTAGCAGCATCTCATCACAACTACAATTGACTTCATGATGTTGAAGAGTTTTGCATGGATGCACAGTTTATTTTCAAATTTAGAGGGTTTTTTAATTTTTACTTTAGTCTGCAGGTTTTGATTGATTTCTCATTGATTAATTTCTCATTGTTAAACTTTTCCTCTTGGTCTTTACCTCAGTTTTGAGATGTCTGGTGTTTTGCAGTTTCCTTCTTGCATTTGCATTTAGTGATTTTAATTTTACAAGAGAGAACTTAAAGGCCTACAAGTCTTTGCATGCCAACAATTTTGTTCTGTGTGGTCACGTGCAAGAAATAATGTTCCATCATTACCAGATTCAACACTATGTAGTGCTAAAAACCGAGGTACTGCCTAGACAAAAGCAAGGAAAGAAGACGGAGCTAACGTTATACAAGCTAAGGCCTGGGTAATTAATCATCAACAAGCAAAGCAACTGCATTCTGACAGCGAACTGCACCTGTACGGCAGGGATGTGAACTTACACTTTCACATTTCATTCTTAGCATTCAGTGTCCGCAGTTTAATTCACCATGTTTAGCTGTTTTTGCTGAAATCATTCCTGCAATCAAAAAAAGGTGATGTGTATGATTCAGCATGGCATGAACTCACCTGATATAAACGGAGAATTGCAGAGTCCAGCATTTTTAATTAGGTCCTCACTCCATTCAGCTCTTATGATGGCAGTTAGCCAGACACGTGTGCAGTTGGCATTAAAAGCAGTGTAGTGTACGGTAAAATTTAAGTTTTCTATTTTTGGACTTTCGGTTTTGGCATCCTACCGCACAACACAACATTTTTGTATGGAAGGCCGTTGGGGCCAAAACGTATGCAACAAACGCGTTTACACGTTATATGTTTGCTATTACATCCGGTTTGAACCTGAGTGACGTCGTGTGACGTAGGTTGGTAATTCCCCTATTGATTTCATAAACACAGCACTACAATATTCTCCCAATAATTCAGACAAGCTTTAGCATACAATTATACATTGTATAATCATTTAATACCTTGTAAAATAGCATTTACGACTTTTTAAATTCTTTTAAAGGCCCTTAAATTTCTCTAAATTGATTAATCAGCTTTTATTCATTTGTAAGTCCCAGCGGACGCTCTGATCACTCAGTTTCACAGTCTGTGGTTCCTCTGCTTGTTTTTGACTCACTATGTTAAGCTTTGCAAGAAATGTGTCATTAAATATTGACAAGATCTGTGTCATTAAATAATGAAGAATTGTAAATGGAGCATGTGTTCAGTTTAAGATGAGCTTTCAGAGTTAAAATAATAAACTTTAAACAGATGTCAAAAACTCATTTTTTTTCATGTTTGGTAGTGAAGCTTGTTAAATGATTTATTCAGAATCTGATTGTTCTGGAATCCTCTGTGGAGAGTGTGAGTAATGACTGTGATTAGAGCAGACTGATGTTTAGAAGTTGTAGGCGTTTATAAGTCAGTGGTGTCAGATATAAAGACACAACAGACCAATTTCTATTTGGTGATCGGCAAATTTTGTTTACTGTTTTTATAATAGCAACCAATGGGTGAAATAAACAGCGTATTAACATATAAAATAATGTCTAAAAGGTAATATAAATTTTAAAAAAAATGTAAATTTCCCATGATAAGAAAAAAAAGTTAGATATTAGGCATGTGTTGTGTTTGTGAATGACACATCTGACCTGAAAATGCTTCAGTTTTAATATCACAGTAACTTGCTCATTTTACAGAAACAGTTTCATAAAGATATTTTGAGCACAGATGAGTGTGATAAAGAGGAATTGGTGCCTGTCCTCTTCTCTTCTGGACTATAGAGAAATAATGATGATCATTTGACTGTTTCCAGAAAGCTTTTTTTTTTTAGTTTTATAAACGTCTGATTAGATGTCCAAACATAAATGACTTGACTAAAACAAGTTCATTTTGGGATGTTTAATTCTAATAATAGTCCAAAAACAGACTAGTCTACTTCTGGACTATTTAATATTTTCACTGACAGGTTAAATTTAGGCTTGTTAAGAAATTGTACAGTGTCTTTTCAGACTCTTTATATTTGTATATTTCTTCTTCATGTTTGGACATTTTTGTTGTCATTATAGGCAGAAGCATCGCTCTATACTGTAGTTCAGTATTAGTTGTTATAATGTATTTAATGTACTAACACAAACTCTAATAGTGAACTTGTAATAATTCAAATATACGCAGATAACATGATTGCTCTGCTGTTTCTGGCAAAAAAATAAAACTGGCACTACATGCATAAACCCTTTTCTGACATTGTAATAATCCCATGTATATGCAGATAACAGGATTGGGTCCCTCTGTGTTAGAAAGCTGACTTAGCAGCTCTGCCAGGTTATGACTGCACCACTGTTTTAGGTAGAATTGACACTACATGCATAAAACTCTCATAATGATGATGATGTGATCTTGATAATGATCTTTTAATAAGCCATGTACCGTTGAAGTCAGAATTTTTAGCCCCCCTGTTTTATTTTTTTTCCGAATTCTGTTTAACAGAGAGCAGATTTTTTTTCAACACATTTCTAATAGTTTTAATAACTAATTTCTTATAATTGATTTATTTTATCTTTGCCATGATGACAGATATTTTTCAAGACGCTTCTATACAGCTTAAAGTGACATTTAAAGGCTTAACTAGGTTAATTAGGTTAACTAGGCAGGTTAGGATAATTAGGCAAGTTATTATAACAGTGGTTTGTTCTGTAGACTATCGAAAAATATATTGCTTAAAGTGGGTTAAAAGTTTAGTTCTTAAAATGACTTTTAATAAATTAAAACTGCTTTTATTCTAGCCGAAATAAAACAAATAAACTTTCTCCAGAAGAAAAAATATTATCAGACATACTGTGAAAATTTCCTTGCTCTGTTAAACATCATTTGGGAAATAATTGAAAAAGAAAAAGAAATTAAAGGAGGTCTAATAATTCTGACTTATATGCAGATATTTGGTCTCACTGTGTTTGACAGTCAACTTATCTTATCTACCATTAGTTAACTTGGTGTCAGAGCTCTCTGTGTGTTTGTGAAATAATGTTTGTGCATTCTCAGTAGCCATATCTGTATACTCAAAGTATGCTGAGTATAAATAAATAAGTATATTAAACTACATCAAGTACACTAAAGGTTATGAAGAGTTACTATAATTTAACAATTACAATTAATTACAATTAAAATAAACCTAACACAAATATAGTTATTTCTAATGAAGATTAGTTTGTAAAGTCAACTAATGATTCATATATTTGAAGCAGGCCTATACTGAGAATGAGTCTGGCTCTCAAGAATCCTTATAGTAGCGTATTTGTTTTCACTAGAGTAGATCTCAGTTAAAGAAGGACATTTACGCTGTATTTTAAATAAAAAATAAGTCAAATTACTGCTATAACATGTGCTTAAGTTTGCATTGTCTGAGGTTTTTTTTTTTTAAATAATTAGTTATAAATGGCAAAAGTTCCTGTTGAGTTCATGGAGCTAACAGTGTAACTTTGCCCAACTTCAATAGGCATACAGTAGCTTATTTTCACTCAAATGAGTTTGCAGTGTTATATATATATATATATATATATATATATATATATATATATATATATATATATATATATATATATATATATATATATATATATATATATATATATATATATATATATATATATATATA